TTTTTTTTCTTTATTCCTATTTAATGTCTGATTCTTTTCTTGAGATGCATCAGATGACCTATATCTAAAGCTCGTAAACATCGGTCCCATGCCTCCTGCGGAAGAGATTTGCAGGTCGATCTGACTCGGCTCGGAATTTCCGAAGGTAGAGCCTTTAAAAAAATTCCGTTGCGTGCGTTGAGCGGACAGCGGCCCGCTGATGCACGGTGATGAACTCGGAAAGACGCGCTGAGTTTGTTGTAACGCCTGAATGCAACTATTCGTGGTCAGTGACTGCCCAGGTTGCGTACAAAAAACTGAAGGCGCTCTGAATGTCTTGTGTGCGTAGCAACGCGCTTTGACGCCCTTCTTACAGAGAGGCCTTCCTTACGCTGTCGTTTGGCTACAATATTTTTCTGGCTGTCACCGTCTAATTTGATCCGGTATTGCCTCTCACAAATGGAAATGTACTGGCTCACAAAATCCAGTTATTACCTAACTGCTGTGAAATACACGACCAACCGCCGTAATGCAATGGAGCATGACAGTCAACCTTTTCGCAATGCTGAAACACAGATATCAAAGTGAGGAAATTGCAAAAACTTTGTCATGCAATATTTGATATTGTAATATAACTTGTAATGTAACTTTGTCCTATATTTCTCGCAATTTTCAGTACTTAGCCGAAAAGTCGATGCTGAGTCAAAGAGAAAAAGTTGCTATTCAATTTTCTGATTTTCTGAAAAGTATGCGAAGTTTCGGAACAATTAGACTACATTTTGCAATTTGGAACTATAAATTCTAGCCCGGTTTAAAACAACGTATGTTCCATTCGTTTCCCTATGCACATAAGTGTTTTTCCAGAAAAGCCAGACTTCATAGTTCCAAATTGCAAAGTGCGGTCAGTAGGGGAAAAATGGGGGTTTGAGGACACCCTGCATTGTTGCCGGTTTGACTGTTGAAAAAGATGAATATTTTGTGAATTTATTTTAGATGTGACAACAATGCAGGTTGATATNTCCCGCTCAATTTTCAACCCTGTTACGTCACAACTGAAAAACATGGTTGACATGTCATACAATAAAACACCCCCCAACACCCTGAAATAATTCCGATTTTTCTGCACAATTTTACAACATTGGTGACGTCACAACATAAAACATTGTTGCCAGATTGTATACTATAATACACATATCACATATCCACCATCGCGAAATAATTCGGATTTTTCTGCACAGTCTGGCAGCTGAGTGAGGGCTACTTCCCATATTCTAGCTACTGTTATGTTGATCTAAAATCATCACACGTTGATTAGAAGTCCATTGGTTTTTCATGCAATCATTTTCCTCTGCGAAACTCACAAGTAGATCTTCGAAATTTTTTTTTGGGTGAAAAAGTCAGAATTTTAGAATGATTTCCAATTTTTGATTCTTTCCTCCGAAAAAAAATTCCAAGATATGAGGCTGTTTCGTTGATCATACTCTAAATATTGCTCTAAATCACTTATGGAGGCGGAGATGAAACGGCGGAGGCGGTATCTTCTTCTTTAACCTTCGCAACTTGGTCCAAGATTCCATCGCATTGCTTCTGGTCCATTTTTGGTAACAGTAACAAACTACTAGACACAGCACTAATGAGTAAGCGAATGAGCACAGCGGTAATGAGTCTGAATAAAGTCTGTGCGGGGGTGCTTTCCCACGATCAGCAAGCTGGACACGGCCACCTTATCAACGGATGGTTTCGGGTGGCGAGCTCAAGCAGCCAGGCTAGGAATGTCGCGTAGCAAAAACCAATCAGCCAGATGTACGCTAAATTTATGAACATTTTCCCCATGATAATATTCTCAACAATAATTTAGTTAATTCAACCAATACCCTGTATGATTTTTGACAGCAATTGAAAAAAATTTGGAAACTTAAATCGCCATAATTTGGAAACCTGTATTGAATTCGACAAAAATATCAACCAGTTCATTCAACCAATATCCTGTATGATTTTTGACAACAATTGAAAAAAATTGGAAACTTAAATTGCTAAATTTTGGAAACCTGTTCTAAATTCGACAAAAAATATCAACCTGCATTGTTGTCACATCTAAAATAAATTCACAAAATATTCATCTTTTTCAACAGTCAAACCGGCAACAATGCAGGGTGTCCTCAAACCCCCATTTTTCCCCTACTGCGGTCCAATTTCAAAAGGGTATTTTAAACGCGCAAGCGCATTTTTTCGCACGATTTACACGCATTCGCATTATCAACAGAGCGGCTATCCAGGGTGCCAAATTTAAGACGAAAATTTGTGAAGATCGATAATCTTTGATTACAGAGATCGCCAATCCACAAATATGCGGAAGCATTGCATTTTTAACAATGACATTGGGTCTAGTAGAGAAATTACATTTAATAACGTGATATAATAAAAAGCGTGACGTCAGCAAAATGCGGAAACTTGAAAGAAATAATTGATTTTTAGTTCTTCTTCTTCTAACTTTTGATTAGGGCCGAGACTTTGTTTGTCTAGCCTCTAAATTAATAAAATATGATGGTGATGAGAGAGATCACTTAATGGTCCTTCGGGGATGAAAGGCAGCTCTGTGCCCATCTTTTGGGCGGTCGTCCGGGTTGCCTACGGCTATGAGGTCGTGATTTTATAATTATGATTCGTGATTGAGATTTTAAGCATTCCTCTGATTTTTACATAAATCATAGACGCAAAATCGCGGTGATAAACGCTGATTGTCAGTCTGTTTACATTGACGCTTTTTCAACTTTTCGGGCCCGTTTACTTCAAGGGGTATGAAACTCGGATCCGCTTTTTTCCGTTTACCATTCCTCCTTGTAAATCTGTTTTCCTTCTTAAAGAAAAGTATTTACATTGACTTGAATGAAACAGTATAAAAAAATATTTTTAACCGTATCTCGATAAAAGCACGGCAGGTTTTTATGTGGGAATTTTGCTGCATATCTACCTACATAAATTAGGCAATGAGTAAACTTGCAACGTCGCAAAATGAGTTGTGAATGCTTATAACCTCACCATCGCGCCAAAATTTTGCGCCGACTGTGAGAAAATGTATAACTGCGCGTGCGCATACCCTAGTGTGTTATCTCTTTGTCAGTGCTGCAATCGTGATCTCCTGCCGACAAGTCGAGGCGATATTCCTGAAGGCGCTCTGAGCAACTATTCTGCCACAGAAGTGTTGCACAGCATCGGACGAAATTGTAGGCGCACTAACTTATGTAAAGTGGCTGGCACATATATTCGCTCCAGACAACGGTGTTGCAATGACGCCAAGGAAAATTAAGTTAACTACTACAATATGGGGGGAAATTTAAAAAAAAAAAAAAACCAGGACAAGAGTATGGACACAGAGGCTGCAACTGTACTGTCGTCTTACGTATTGCCACCGACATTCATGCTATTACGTTACTTGATTGAGGCGCTTTAACTCTGTAAGTTTTATCTGCTTGTGACGTTGCAAGATCGTCCGCCATGTTTAATTATTAATACAGAAATCCGTCAAGAGAATCTATTCAAATTGTTGTTTATGCGTGACTATAATTCATCTAAATTCCAACAATTAGCAGAATTGGCGCCTTTTTTTAAAACAGAGGACATGATACGGAACTTTGAAACCCACCATTCAAACAACTTGATACGGGTAACACAGCATAGCTTTAGTATGATCCTGATGCTGATAAATCATAGCCCTCTGTTTCTGGCCATCAAAACTAATCGACACATTCATACTTTGCTCTTACTGTCGCTTCGAAGCAAAATTGTGGCGCTCTCAGAAGTGGAAAGTACTGGCTACAAACTCAACTGTTTTGAGGGACTACAGAATGCGCAACCATACACCAGCAGTTCTCCACACAACGCGTGATCCGAGATCCCTCGGTTGGTTGTTTATAATCCGTCCTGGATCCAAGCTCAATTCCAGTTTCGGGTGACGAATTAATCGTTTCAATTAATTTACTCGTTACTCTCACCGTTGAGCGCTCAATTTTCTGTGTCTCCCTCCTCTCCCCCCCGCCCACATTTTCCACACACGTTCCTGTTGCCTCTCGTACCAACCCTCTGATGATGCGCCTCTGTCCGCCAATCAATGGTTCTAAACCAAGAACACATGAGTCTTCTTATTTATTTATTTAAGCACCGAAGTACAAGAAATTTTTTTTAAAAAAAATGGTTTTTAACGAATGGCTTCTTGAGAAGTTAAAAATTACGAAAGAAGAGTAAAAAACAATGTCACAATTGTGTTGATCGTCACTGATTTGGTCACAAAATTTTATCAGAAATTATCGGTATCCTAAATCTGAACTCTTCGCGATTTTTTCTATCCGCAGAGAAGTCTCAAAAAGTATAAAAGAGAATCTAGGCTTTTTGCAATTTCTAACAGTATGAATGAGAGTGGGCACTACCCCATGCATACGAAACTGAGTTACTGGTATCAACTGAGTCATTTGAGAGTGATGAGAAAATATATTCATACTATGAAAAATGGTTGATCTTGAATGTCCAATAGCCAACGAAACGAAAAGTGACGATTAAAGGGTGGAGGTAGGTAAGCGGCTCGATCTATTGTCTAAGGGTTGATTTGCTTCTAGCTGTTGAACCTACGTTTCAACCCTTAAAAAATAAATCAAGGCTCTCGCCTGACTCCGCCCCTTACACATCACTTTTCTTGTTATGGACTATGATAGATTCAGTCAGATCACAGCTGTAATTGGACGTATTTCTGCCAAACGGAACTAAGTGCCATAGGGGGAGGAAAGTAGAGGGGGGCTTGGATTGGCGGCGAAACCGGGCGTCGGGCTCATTCCGTCCTATGCTCGCAATGCTTTTCCATGGCGCTTAGCTCCGTTTGACAGAACACGCTATCCGGCATTCTAGATTCCTCAAAGGGAACTCAAATTGGCGCTTAGTTCCGTTTGACAGAAATACGTCCAATTAATAAATATTGTTTATTCGAAGGTCAAATAGCTTTTTAATAATTCAGTAGGAAATAAAAAGGCGAATTTGCAGTTTTTGTAAAACAAATTCATGGTTCTCTCTGTATTGAAAAAAATAATAATCTAAATTTTACAAAGAATTCACACAAAAATAAAATCATCACAAAGTTGAAGATTTGCCCCCGAATTGAGAAGCACAAAAATTCCATCAACATATTTGCAGCAATTATAAATAGTTTAGAGCTGTGTTTCAACTTCGTGATTAGTTTCCGTCGCCAATTAAAACACGCAAATAAATTGAAAATGATATAAAAACATCTCTAATACTGGTAACTATGAGAAAAAAAGAAACTTTTGAGGGTGGTGCAGTGGTGCTCTTTATAGAGATAATTTTACTATACAGAATTTCTTCTGCATGATCATGAGTACTTTCTTTCTAAAAACTGAAGTTAAAAAGAGGCAAAAATGATCATGTACAAAAAGTTCCGGAGAGCGGCATTTAAATTGTATAGATGTAAAACAAGATATTGCAAGAAGACTTGCGGTAAAGAATAAAAGTACATGGAGTCCTCCGCCAGAACATGCCAATCTATACACGACATTCAGGAGGAGAAAACTTTCATAAGCACACTGAGGTGTTTATTCCTCCATTTTTTTCTGCAAGTCTTCACTGAAAGTGAATCGAAGATAACGATTTCACTGGTTATTACGACTAGTCAGTTAATAGAATGTATTAATAAATGTAAACACATTTTTCCAATTCGAATCTTACTCTATGAGGTATTAATGACATAACGAGCCAATGATGATTTCTAATAGCCAAGTATTTGTGATTATAATTCATCAACTTCTTCAACATTCACAACCATTCATTCCTACATAAGGCCAGTGATAAATTTCACAGTTGCAATGAAAGTCCGAGAAATAATAGAAATATGACTTACATTTTCAAAACTCTTAAAATTTATCTTTACCGAAAACCAATAATTTCATGAGGTAAACGGGATTATTATTTCCTGCTTATTCCCTGAAAATAGAAAGACCATCTCTCATAGAAATTGTTCTTAATCCTCATTTAAAATTTGAAGCAATGCATTTCGAGGTATGAGATTATGTTCAGCGCAAGGTCTTGATCTATATTGATGTATCGGGGTGGTTGGAATCCATGGATAAACGTTCTGATAGCCACGTGGTACTTTTGAAATTTTATCTGGTTCTGACAGAAAGAATAAGTCTCGATTCATGATGTCGTCCTCGTCATTTTGAGTCATTTCAATGACTCCCTCTGGCAAATGATCTATGGATCGAAGTGACGCTAGCACAGCTTTTTTATTGGGAACACCTCCTCGAAACAGTCCAGTTCGATCAGTCTCGTTGTAAACATCTTCAAACAAGTCTTTGATGTGTATTCTCTCGACGACTTTCTGTCCTAGTCGCTCACTCCCCCACATTTGGTACGAATAGTGTGGAGGTGTCTCTGAGTCCGATGTCGGTGCAGATTGGATAAAACCTTTTTCTAGTTGGCGCCTACTCGACTTCCTTTTCCTCTTTTTCTTCCGAAATTCCATACGATTTTTCTTCTCCAAGCCACAGGGCAATGATCGCTCAAATAGAGTCCTCTGAGTTTCGTTGGGAATAGATCTTGCTCCTCGGCTTGATGAATGTTTTTCAAGAAGTTCGAAAAATTCTCGCGCTTTAATGAACCGATTTTGGAAGCTTTTATTCCTTTCTAGTTCAAATCTCTTCGTATCTTTAAATTCCCCGGTATGGCACTTAGTGTTTTCGTCATCTTGAATATTTATTTCTTTACTTTCAGAGGTGAAATTCTCGGTTTCTTCGCCATCTCCTTGGGGAAAGGTAGCGTTTAGGATATCACGCTCATGTGCAGATCTATTGTTTTCTTCCAAATTCATCGTATTTACAAAATTTTCAAATAGTCTAATCCTGTCAATAATATTTAATTTTTTCATATTAATTTCAGATGCGTCCTCTGTATCTGCGCAAGAATAATTTTTTTCCTCTTCGATTGTATCTTCAACAGAGCCTAAAAGCTCACATTCTCTAGCGAGCAAGACGGGAGTTGTTTTGATTCCTTTTGCAGAATGTTTAATGCCAATTTGACTTGGTTGGGAACATTCATTATGCTGATTTTCCTCAACAATTTTATCCCAATACATTTTCCAAAAAGAAACGAGATTGGATCGATTGTTCTCAGTTTCTTTGTTTTGTGCGGCGATATGTTCATTCATTTTTTCTTTTTTCTCTTTTATTGTGGTAGTTTTTTCTTGAGTGGGTACAGACACTGTCTTTTGAGACTCAGAAAAAAACTGTCCCTGAAGGGTTGTAGGTTCCAATCTGCCACAGATACCATCGGTTCCAGAATCATTTGACGGATTTTCAGACTCTTTGTATCTAGATTCGCATTTATCAAATTGTTTGATCTTATCTTCTACAACTCGTTTACCAATACTCTGTATCTCTTCCAGTAGAGCCATTCTTGGCGACTGCGGTCTGCTAAAAGTCTCAGATTTTTCGAACTTACACTTAATCTCATGAAAGTCCGATCCAATATGGCTATGATTGTCAGGAATTTCCTCAAGTTTTGTTGCTGAGGTATCAGCATCAAATGCACATTTTAAAGTTACGGATATTTTATCTTCGTTATCTGAGTGTAAAGCTGGCTCCAAGAAACATTCATCGGTTTTAATTCGATAACTTTTTTCTTCTGATTTATACTTTCCAACTTCATTTGGGTCTTCGTATTCCGAGGAGATAGTTACCCTTGAGTCTAAGTTTATTGAGCATTTCACTGAAAGATCCTCACTTGAAGCATTGCACGTATCATCTGAAGTTTCATTGCTTGGTAATTTGCATTCAAATGGTTGAACGGTTGAGGAATCTTGGTTCATCAAAACTTTTGTTGAAACAGTATGTTTATCCGTGGCGTTATCGAACCTATCACACTGAAGAAAGCTGCTTGTTTTTAACAGGCTCTTACAGGTATTAATCGCTTCTTTCTCGTCGTAGAGTATAATTTCAATCTCCTGAGTTTTTGTAGTCTCAAGTGGAGGTGGTGGATTCTCGCCACTCAATTCATGGGGGATGAAGTCTTGTACATCATTATTTTGCTCAGCCTTAAAGTTTTCGGTGTAACAAGTGGGCACCTTTTCCACACCCACATTCATGTAATCTAATACTGACAAGATCTTTAGATCCTCTCGGAATTTTGAGTCATCAAGTGGTAATAGTTTGTTTTCATCCATAACAGCTTCTATTACAAACTCATCCACACTATGCTCTGGAGTTAATGTTATAACAGGTAAAACTTCGGCACAGTACGTCTGAGACTGAATTACTGGTAGGGACGAAGTTTCCTCTTCTTGCTCCTCCTGTACTTCGGTTATTGTATCCATAATAGGAGAGCTAGGTCGTGACACTCTCGTGCATGGCTGCGGTATTGATAAGTTGACGTTATCAGAAGCAAATTCGTGGGGTATCACCAACGGTAAGCCCCATATTTCTCTCTCTGCTACTCCCATGGAACTAATGGTTTTCCAATCAAAAAGTGGTTCATTGGATCCACTTGTTCTAAATTCTTCCGAATCATCCACAGGAAATGCTTCAAAATTAGGCAGAGAGTAGCTATCGATTTCACATTTTGTACTTAAGCTCTCTCTGGTGGTATCGATTTCTTTCGATTCACTTTTCACGACCATTCCACTCTTTTGTGCGTTGTTAATTTTTTGCTCAAGTTTCCTCAAGGCCATATCCAAGTTTGGAGCTGATATGATTGATTCAAAGTCTAATTCTTTACTTACTTGAATCGAGTCCGAGCAAGTCTCTGGTGAGGCTTGTCCATACGGACTCCAACTTATTAACTTGTCTGTCTTGACATCCAACCAATTATCATTGATGATCGAGTCACTATGATACTCAGCAAAACCCTCACCTCCTCCACTAGAGAACCAGTTGGAGTCGGTTGAGTTCAGAGATGATGACCCGATATTTTTAGTCAAACTAATAGGGTCTATATTTGTTGAATTGTGGTCATCGCCAGGAGAATCTTCCTCGCAAACAATAGAAAATATCATATTCTTGATTAAAGCATCATTACTATCCATTTCATTCTCTGATGATCCTAGATTAGTTCCTTCTTTTTCATTATTTTTGTCGTCGTCAGTCACTTCCTTGCAAAAAGTTTCATTCAAAGCATGCAATGCTAGTTGACTAGAGCTTTCAGATCTCATAATATCCGTTTCTTGCGTTGCTATTCCAGCCGCTTCGGACTTTGCAGCTACCTCAGTTTGACAATTTCCATCCAAATTTATAAGCGTATTTGTAACTTCTTGAAGGACATTGATCTCATTTACATCTGTCAAATGATCGGCTAATCTGATTTCTTCAGTGAATTCATTTACACAATCAAACATTAATTGATGCTCAACCATGAAAGACTTATCTTTGGAAAAAATTGAGTTGTTTCGTTCGTTGTGCGTGGAGTCATCAATTTCGAGAACGTTGCTATTTTTTGAACTCTCAGACATCACGGTTCTATCAGAAACTGTATTAGTAACACGTGAACCAATTTCTGCATCGCTGTCCTCTGTATTTGGAACATTTTTGAACTCTATCTCACTAACATCAGAGTGAATTTCACTCTGCTTCAATGCCAGTTCATCAATGTTTTTGTGATCCTCAGAAAAATTCAAATTGAGTACGTTGTCTTGATTTTTGTATTTATTTTCGACCGAAATTCCGTCCGTGCTATTAAGCTCGATGTCATCCAATTTAAAATCAAGCTGGCCGCAATTTTTGGCACCCCCTGAATTAATCTCCTCAGTTGAATTCGATATTGCTTCTACCTTTTGGATTGAGGGTAAAACGAATTTATCAGGGTTGGGAGGGTGGACGGTGCTTTGAGTATTTTGTACTTCTTGATCTGTCTCGTCTTTTGAAAATTCTTTTGTGCTAAAATGATCTTCCATTGTGCTGATTCCCATGACTGAGAGAGATGAAACGTTTAAAGACTCTTTACCTTCATTTTCTCTGTTTACATTCTCCGCCTGGTTTTCATCCATTTTGGTATCTTTAATGTCAATTATATCCGTGTTAATGTTATTTTTATCATCAATTCCTGCTGACTTGTGTGTTGGAGTGGTATTTGGATGCACCAAAATATTTATGTGAGATTCAAAGTTTGTGTCAGAGGAATCCCCTGAGGAAACAACATTCAAATCTCTATCGTCCAAAGTATCCTTTTCTCCCGAAGTTATTGCTTGTGATGCAGACTGTTCACTGTTTTTTGTCTCAGGCACCACCATGCTTTTAGCATGTTTCGCACTTTTTGAGCTGACTATCACGAAGTCATCAGAAGAGAAAATCCTCGGCTCCTCTGAAGACGGTGAAAACTTCGACTTTTTTGAACGCACTATTACAAAATCATCGGAGGAGAAAATCCTCCGCTCCTCTACAGAATGTGAATATTTCGAGGAGCCGACCTCTGTTAATGAACTGAAATCACAGAGGTGTTGAGATGTAGGTGGTTCCAAAGGTAAGGGCGTCACTTTTTCTGTATCTAATTTTGTTTCGGATAAATCGGCCTGTACATTCGAATTAATATTTAATTTTGTTTCAGATAAATCGGCTTGTACATTCGATTCAATATCCAACAAAGTGTTTCCTACTGGTTTTCCATCTCTGTCTGAATCACTAGCTGAGAATTTATTCTCAACATTTTGGTCCTCCTGGTTTTTGCACGTTGCTTCATTAACCGTATTTTGTAAGAGAAAAGTTTCATTGATACTTACGTGAGCTGAGGTAACGTGTTCATTGATTATATGAAGCTTCTCATTGGATTCCTGCACCACCTTTGTACTATTTTCTCTACCATCAATGCTGCGTATTTCATCCTGCGCATCGATATCATGAAGTTCCGATAATGCGTCTTTTTGAGCGAATATACTTGTGTCTTTGTCTGATGACGTATCATTTCCAGAGGGTCGTATGTCATCGCTCCTTTGAGTTGTTATTTGTTCCTCAGGCACGGATGTTGGATGTCTGATTTCTGATAATTTTTCCTCTGATTCCGTTTGAGTATTTAATGCAGCATCTAAGAGGGAATCCCTATCTAAAACCGTTGCACATATTCCAACATTCTTATTCGGTGATGCATCTGAAACATTGATATTAATCTTCGTTTCGTGCTTTGCTCCACTATCATTATATTTCTGATGATGGATATCTTGAGAATTATATTCTTCAGTAATGTCTTGAAAGTTGGTAGCCGACATCGGACTAGAACATTCAGATTCTAGACAATGTTCGACAGTGTGACACATCATTTCTGTCGTAATAGCACTATCATTGCAAGATGACAAGGATGTTGGGGTAATATTGCTCTCCTCTTTTGGCAGTAAGGTAGACTCAGTCTGAAATATTTGAGATGATTTAAGATCGCAGATTGGTTCATTGACAATACATTCGTCGGAGGCAAGAGCCTTGTCTTCGACGTTGGATAATTTTTCAGCTGGTTTTACACTAGTGCATGGTGATATATCCAACGCTGGATCTATTTCATCCAAACCACTCTCATTTGTACTTAGATTTTCATTCGACATGGAATCCTCGGCTGTATTTATAGGTTTCATTTCCTCCTTTGTGACACTAACAACAGTATTTTGACGTGAAGAAAATTGTAGGGGACCTTCTTCTTCATTCGCACCTCCAACAGAGGCTGCTAGATCCTCATTTGATCCATCACTGACTTGAATCCTTTCACTCAAACTCAAACCCCCTTCCTCACTAATGTGACATGAAATATCCTTCGTTAAGGTGCCATCGGGTTCTGGTAATACGATCTCATTTTGTGATGAACTATTGTCTTCTTCCCACCCTGTATTTTGAACCGTGGAGAGAATGAACTCTTCATTGAATGATTCATCCTTTTTAGCGTACCTAACATTCTTGTCGGAATGCTGATGTGCGCCGCTTGCTTCAGTTTTAACAGAAGTTAAATCTAACCCTTCTCTCTCGTATGTATTGCGTTTAGTAACTGGTTTTGATACTTCTTTTTGGCTGATTTCACTTTGGTTTGTGTTTCCCTTCAACCTCTCATGATCGTCATCCTGAATGTTGATACGTTCGTTGTGAAGATTTTCCTTCGCCTGTGCTTCCTCCGAACATAATTCAGACTCGTGATGCAATGGAATAATATTATCCCTTACCGGACTTGTAGTGCTCGTGATAATTAGGTCATTCTGATCCATCGACTTTTCGTCAAGTGTGGTTGACATGGGTGAACTAACTGATTTTGAATCTGATTGAACGTTTTGGTCACCCGATGAACATTCCACGACAGTTTGCTGACTGCAAAGTTTGCATCTAATTTTTGAGACAGAGGCTGGACTCATGGGGAGAGATGCGGTAATTTTACGATCTACGTTGCACTGATCAGAGCATAGTTTGCACTTAATTTTTCCAAATTCATCGGATTCGTCGCAGTAAAATGGAAAATTGCTGAACGGCGGCCGAAAATCGTTGGACAAATCTACCGATCTCTTTTGAGTTACCGCAGGGATATGAGAGGTACCTGTATCTGAATCTGAACCCTCTAATTCCTTACTCTGGGTCACTGCGACAATTGGATCATCTTGATAGCTTTTTTGTTGGATCTCTGTCTCATCAAAGTTGTTTTTACTGTCGTTTATTGACTCAGAACCTAGTTCTCTACAGTCATCAACCGAGGATATTGATGAACTATCACAATTTTCAGGATCTAATAAGATAGGGGGACAAGAATGCAATAGCTGATCCCTGTTTTCCTCTTCAAAAGTGCCCGCAAGTGCAATCGAATTGTGAATAACTTCTGTAGCAGTTCCACTCCCTCTCGAAGAAATAATAGCCACATCATCAAGATTTTTAGTTATGATTTCAACCGACATCGGCGTGATCATGCTGTCGGATTCTCTGAGATTACAATCGCGCTTATCTTCATTGAACATGTTAGACGTGAAAATTTCCCTTGATATATTTTCCTCTGCTGGAAGAGGAGATTCAGTAACTTTGTTAGGTTCAATTTTACTCATGCTACTGGGAGAGTCTAACTCTTCTTCTCCGAATGGTGTAGAGAGACTGACCGTTTCCTCTTTTAAACGATCGCAAGATGTGATCGGCTCTGTTAAAAATGCAACGGCATTTGATTCATTTTTTTGTTCATTTATGCAATTTTCGTCCAACCCGTGATTTTTCGAAGCAGTATCTTCATCTTTTTGAACAAATTTCGAAGTACCATCAATTAGACATCTATCTGGCATACATACAGTGGCTTCAATAATCGATGGATTTACTTCTGTCTTGACTTGTTTGAGAAGACTGTCGTTGTGACACGAGGCTAAACTTTTGGTTACAGTAGTACACTCGATCTCGGGGTTCGCATTAATATTTAGCGTTGATTCAGCCTGTTTTTCTGTATCACCAAGTGATGCTTTACTGCGTAGCAACTGAATGTCAGCGATATCTTCATGCAACTTTTCGTTGGGTATAGTTTGATCACATAAACTGGGAATATGCTCCGGACAAGATGAATTTTCCCTATTATCCGGCACAGACTCATCCACGCATAGTACCTCCATTTCGTTCGTCACTCGGCTTTCTTCTGTTGATACGAGTAGTCCATCTAATGTTAATGACATCAAGTTAATGTTGCATGCAACCTCCTCTGCCTGGTCCTGTTGGGGTTGCAGTTTTTGAACGCTGCTAATGGGTAGATTTACAGTTTTTTCACTTGCTTTTCTCGTGGAATCCTGATCTTCGGAAGTCAAATTATTCGCGGAAGAAACACTTGTAGTTTCTAGATATTCCTGTTCCTCAGTCTTCTCATTAACGCTGAACTTACTGGAGATTGATTTGTCTTCACTTTTAGTATCACATACGACCATCCCAGAGCATGGTTCCTCTTTACTCTTGAACTGTTTGTGGTAAGTATCTACCGGCTGATTTTTCATTTGATCATCACTTAATGGTCTTTCTACTTCGTTAAAAGCCTCACGCCATAAGTCATCTGGATCAAATGAGGTCTCCATGGATAAAGAGGTTAAATTTTCAACACCTAAGCTTTTTCTTCTGATTTCACTTGACGAAGAAAATTTTGAATCAAATTGATCTATCATTGGTCCTAATTTTTCTTCAGAATCTATTTCTGAGATTTCACATTGTCCAGCTCCTCCTTCAACTTCTGAATTAACAATCCTAGGAATTGATTCCAAAATTTCGTCATTTTGCCGCGATAAGATTTGATGATTGCTTTCATCTAGGGAACTTAAAAATATCTTAACGCTTTCAGCACTCAGACTTTTTTGCAAAGAGACACGTTTTATGACATTTTTTACCGTGTCTGTCTGGATCGGATGCCTCAGCAATGCCTCTACCAAAGTCTTTCCAATCTGAAGTAATTCCTCTCGAACAGTGCCTACAGCTTGCTCACTCGCTTCTTGCTCTAGACGTTCAAAAGGGGCCACTATTGCGTTTAGCAGGTCATTCTGGAGTATGTCACCATTGTCGTCAGCTATTAGTTCAGGGTCATTATTTGGATTTAATGGTGTTGTTCCTCTTTGATGACAAGAGTCCACATTTCCTTGGTCTTTGACCACTCCGTCAACAACCTCATCTGTAGTTGATCTTACTTGATCATCATTGTCATCAAGTTTAAGACGATGCGACGGATCATCTACACGATCATCATCGGAAATGTTTTCTTCAATATGCTGTTTAAAAACACTTTTATGGAAGATTTCAATTTTTTTATGTTTTTCAGTGCATAACTGAGGGGTATTTTGTTTCAGTGTTTCAGATTCTTCTAATTTTAGGCTGTTCATTATTTCGGCTGAGTCACAAGCACCAAAAGCCTCAGACATATAGTAACTTGTGCTACTACTGGCACCATTAAGAGATTCGGTAGTTGTCTTCTGGTTTTGTATCAATGTTGTAGGTGCGTGAAGTCCAACTTTTTCATAGTCCTGAATACCGGTGGGATAATCTTCTTCATTGACACAATCTGATCGATGCGGAACGAGCGTTTTATCACTTGGATGGTCCAACATAGTATTCAGTATATCATCAACCTGCTCGTTTTGAGCCTGCAACATTTTTTCAAAATCATTTATTATTTTGCGGACCGAAACGTTGACCTTAGTTGACTCGACGATTTCATTTTCGGCACACTCTTCTGCGGCTTCCTGAGCAACGTCAGTTTCTTTTTCTTCGTTTTTTATCTCTTTTACTCTGGAACATGTATTCAATCTTGATTGGTCATCCATTTGCTTAAACATATTTTCCTGTCTGCTTATTATAATTTTTGAAGGTTTCCCACGAAATGCTTCCGTATTTTTAAGTATATCAGCTGCTTCTCGCTGCTCAAAAAAAGAGAGATCAGCAGTCGAAGGCTCACTAACCGAGAGCCCATCTGCTTCAGAAAGAGAATTTGACTCATCAGATACGAGAGACTCTTCAACTGACTTAAAAAAATTTGATTCGAGATCTGTAACTTTATTTTTAATTTCCTTATTATGCTTGAAAAACTCTCTCGCTTTAGTTATAGAATGTTCTGATGACAGTACACCACTCAAAGAGACCGGCGCGGATTTTACAGTGGGGTCCATTTGACGACAAATCACAGGGTCTTCTGTTTCCAGCAAATTTACGTATACAATATCAGGAGTAACTAGCTGCGACCTATTCATAATTACATCTGGGTTCAAATAATTCTCAGTCGAAGCGGGCCTCTTCAAAAATGAATTTCTGTTGCCATCAAAACTGAAAACATCGTCGTCTAAGCTTTCCGCCTGTGATGTATCGTCATCATAGTGACGATGACGCTCAAACTTACGTCGACGCTCTATTCGTTGACAAGACACTCTGTTATCAGCCGCGAGCAAATTATCTATGAAAGCAACATCAGGATCCTTCACACTTTCATTCTGTATTGAATTGTTTTCCAAAGTAGCTCGCGCTTCTAGGAGCTTCTTCATCTCTTGCTCCGTATGCGCCACCTCTGTTATGATTCCATCGTCCAGCAACAGTGAATCACGGCTGATGCATTTGTTGGCACCGGAAATGAGACGCAAGCCTCTACTGCTTGAACTGTTTTGTAAAATGAAGTGACATGTCTTCATGATGTATTCGCAAATCTCAAAGAACACCTCCGGAGTAGGCTTGGCTTCCCTCGCGGCATCCTTCTGAAGAATTTTAGCTAAAGATAAGGCTACCGAACTTTGCTCGTTCATCCTCGTCTTTAGTGTAGTCAGGGCGGAACTAGATTGGGAATCAGAACTAATTTTAATCAGCTCACCTTTATCCGTGAGTAGCATTTTCTCATTCACAAAGTCAACTATTCTGTTTATAACTCGAGTTTCCGACTTCGGCGTGGCGCTACTCGTTGGGATCTTCCTGCTGGGGGGGTCGACCGTGATATTGAAAGGTGATCCTAGAATTATATACCCATGCTTTGAGATATCAAGACGATACGAACCAGTTTGATTAGGAGTGTAGACCACCTTCAGACACTTCTTGACGCCGTCTTGGAGCGAGCCTGCGTTTGCGATGACTTCATACTTGATGTGGATTCCGGTCGTGTGGTTCTTGGAATCCTCTCGTGAACCGATGACGGTGATCTCTCCTGCATCTCCATTGGGTCCCGCAATTGAAATGCATATTGCATCGAAATCAAGTTCGTGTCGAGAATAGACGTAAAAAAACGCAGCGTGCCCCTGGGTCGCCGTAATGAGACCCATGCCTCGAGCAACGTACTCACTCGCGTCCTCTTGCTTTGTCGTCCGCTCCAGTCGCTCAATCGAGGCTTTGATTAAGTGTAAAAGTCGAATGAACTTGTTCTCGATTTTTCGGTCCCAGGATCTCTTCAGCTCCTCCCCGAGGAACATCTGCAAACGTGAGAAAATATGTCATGAACATTACAGTGTAAAACGAGCAACAAAAAGTACACTGGAAAAAAAACACATTGTATCTAGAGTCCAGACTCTTGAAAACATTGACAAGAAAAAGGACTTTTGATTCAATCAGATTTAAGCTTAAATCAAAAGGAAATCCGCTCAAATTAAGAGACTTGTTTCTTGATTTAAGTTTAAATCTGATTGAATCAAGAGTATTTTTTCTTTTCGATATTTTTAAGAGTCTGGACTCTGGAGCCAATGTGTTTTTTTTCCAGTGCAGGAAAGAATCAAAATTTCGTAGTGAGTAGATGTTCTGTTAGTTCATTGCTTGCGGACACTAGTTAACATTTATGTTCACTTTGTAAACTTTGTTATCTTCAATGCTTAAACTTGTCTCCTATGTGAATAATTTTTACAAATATAAAATTTTACTGAAAAATATTGAAAAACTTTGGTTCAACTTTTCTCTGCTCTGTGTAATGTCCAACAATTCTGGTCAAGAGATGGTCCGGTACATTTCATTTTCAACCATAAAAGCACTCTCATATGGTGTTTGCAACAAAAAAGCAACGGGACGCCCGTAGCTAATACCCACGATCGATATCTCGCATGCCCACCAACATGCGTGAAGCAGCTCTCCTGCAAGCGCCGTGATACTCCTATTCGCACTCCAAGGATGAGCATGCTGCATACGCAAAAATTGAAGGCGTTTCGGATTTCTGTCTCCTCGTTTCAAGTCACCGTGCGCGCGACTCCGCGCAGCGCACCCCGCACCTGTCATTAAAGGGACGATTCTATCATCATAACTTACGTATGGACCGATTCAACCTGAATCGGCCTAACAATAATCTCCTTTCACTTTTCGTCGCTCCTCTGGCCTAAGAGTATATCAGGGTTTCCGCATGAGCCCAAAAAAACATTGCATTAATTGTATTACAGGGCTCACCCGGAGATTGGCGTACGTTCTCACGTCAGATGTGTGACGATTTTAGTTTTCTAAAGACGGCCCCGATTGATATTTGGACGTATTTCTGTCAAACGGAACTAAGCGCCATAAGGTGAGGAAGGGAGAGGGGGGCTTGGATTGGCGGCGGAATCGGGCGTCGGGCTCATTCCGTCCTATACCGCAATGCTTTCCCATGGCGCTTAGTTCCGTTTGACAGAACACGCTATCCGGCATTCTAGATTCCTCAAAGGGAACTCAAATTGGCGCTTAGTTCCGTTTGACAGAAATACGTCCTTTTGTTTTTAAACACAGCATCTCATCCGGGTTTTTTTTGTTCTTTTTTTTGATCCATAGTGAATTTTCTGATATCTTCGTCATCGATATTTTTACCAAGACGCAACATGTTGACATACATATCAAATTTATATTAGAGGTCTCAAATACTTGTATCAAAAGACAAAAGACTTACGGGTCGAATTTCAAAATATCGCGATATAGTTGACTGGATTTGCTGCAGAGCTGCATGACGGGTGACTTCTTCACCTTCACCTTCCTCGTACGCCTGTGGGATGACGCTGTCAACAACAACGCTCAATAATTCGGGGTTCTCCCATAGTTCCGAAAACCCGTATATCTTCCGTCCTGCACGCTTCTCAATCCACTGTAAGAGCGCCAACCTTCTCCCATACTTTGGGTTTAGCCCTGTTGAATAAAAATATGTATACTTGAAACAAAATGAAAATAACCTTGGTTTTTTTTTCTATCATGGACCAGTATGAGTACCCCTAAGAACTGAATGGAACGTTCCATAAAAAACTCAATTTTCTTTTAGAAAAAGAACTACCCAGTTTAAAAATTACAGTTTTACGGAGCGACGGATGGTCAAGGGAAAAAACTAAGGTCTTTTCCAAACTCAGCGCTAAAAATTACATAGGCATCAACTATCTAGGCTACCATAAAGATCGCAAAGTTTTGGGGTTTTCTCATTTTCACAACTCGTGTCATTTCTCTAATTAGTGAACATTTTGCGTTTACCATTCCTAAAATATGTAGCCATCTCAGTTAACATGGGTGTTTCTTAAAATATTGAGGTCGAATGCCAATTTTTATAGACGTTTTTTCACAATTTGAGCTAAATCATTTGAAACTTTTAAAGAAAAATATTCATTAGTATCCTACAAAACGATAACTTATTAAGAGACATTTGTCAACATTAGAATGTTCAAATGCGCGGTGCGGCATTTTCCCGTTGCATGGCAGTGCGTGTCTGCCAATTGATTGATAATTCCTCAAATGTAAGTAAAAGGTTATCATTGCCCATACAGGCAATATACACATCAATGAATTATTCAATGAATCAGAATCGGCCTGGAGGAATGAGCGTTCGAAAGTGACCTCTATGTTTCTAGCATTGCGTTAAAGTCTCCGTGGAAGTCCCCCCTCATACTGCGCATGTCAACCTCAGGATTACGTGGACACTTTTAGAATACAGCCAATCGGCCCTCCATTTTGGCCTCAACTTGAGAGCATTTTTTGAGCTTGGAAGTTAATTTCAGAGAAAACCAGCGACACTGTCGTCTTTCTCGCGAACTTTTACACAAGAATCAACAGTCAAATCGCAAATTCCTCACACATGCAACATCTTCATTGATGGGCCGCATTTTCTATACTATAAGCTCCAAGACCTCCTAATTTTGCGAAACTGGTGACGCTTAGTTCCAGCGTTCTACCGGGCCGATTTTCATGATTTTTGCGGCTATCGACGGGCAATTGTCTCTAGATAAGCCAACTTTTTTTAGATTTTCAAAATATGACCCAGGTTTTTTTATATTACGTGGTGAAGTTGCGAATTCTCCCATTTAAACAATGTAAATTTATACTTTTTGTCATAGTTCGTTTGAGCGTTCTACCGGGCCGATTTCCATGATTTTTGCGTAAATCGACAGGTAATAGGTCCTAGATGAGCCCGCTCTAATCAAATTTTGGAAAAAGGACCCAGGTTTTTTTAAAATCACGTTATAAAAGTGAGTGAGTTTACAGAATGCTCCGGTACTGCTACCGCTATGCGCGGGAGGATGCGCAGTGGTCGAGGAGGTTGCGCAGTAGCTGTGTAGCCTGCGCATCAGCTCTACACTTATCTACACAAGATTCGCGCCTAACAGCTCACGCTGAGCGGTGGCCGAGTCGTCTAAGACGTCGAATGCATCCACTTTGAACTCGGTGTGAGTTCGATTCCCGAATCATGAAAACGTTTCCTTGACTATCATTATTCATTGTTTTACTGCAATATTTCATCAAGCAGTCATTCCAAAACGCGTCCTTTTAATTTTAAAGTAATTTTAAGTAAAGTTTAAAATTGAAGTATACCTCATATCGTAATTTTTTAGGGGGAAAAATAAAACTAACACCGATAGGAGGGTAAAAATAGGGCCGCGAAGCGGCCCATTGATGGCGCGGAGCGCCTTCAGGGGGTTGGGCCGCGTAGCGGCCAGGGGGCGTAGCCCCCTAGTACTTTATATGATGAACGTAGGCCGATGGATTTGGTTGTACTGGTTTTTTTTTTTTTTTTTTGTTTATTGTCGCAATAAATTACATAGTTATGAAATACACTTACAGTGAAAGTGAGTAATATAGATATTAAAGAAAAACAATAATGATTTGGACTATAATATAAATTAGCAGCTAAATTTTGCTGGATAAATAAAAGGAGAGATAGTAATGAAAATTTCTGGAGTCAGCAAGGGTTATTGTTAGCGACGCCGGGATCCGCCAGTTGGCATGCATCGGCATATATTTGTTTATCTATTATTTCTTTTTTGTTTGTGAGGACTGTTTTAATATATGTACAAATTTTAGACCAATTTTCTCTAGAATCTAGTAAACATTTCTGGAAATTTTCGGCGGTGAATGTCTTTTTTATTTCTCTCTCTAGAAGATCTCTCTCAGAATTAAATTTATTACACATGAAAATAGAGTGCTCTGGAGTATCGAGAGCATCAGGGCAGTACGGGCAGAAGGGGGATGGTGAGATTTTCATACGGTGGAGGTAGCTGTTGAAAGCGCCATGTCCAGTTAGAACCTGCGTTAGGAAGAAATTTAAATCACCGAATTTTCTGGTAAGCCACTCTTCCGGGTCCGCAATGAGTTTCTTGAGCCAGGTATCTTTTGAAGGGTCCTGTTGCCATTCCATGATCCAGTCTTCTCTGATCGCAGCTTTGATGTTGGATTTGTCCGCTTCTTTATGGTAGAGGCTGAGTCTTTCTTTGATCAGATGATTTATGGGAGGGATACCGCTTATCATATCGAGGGCTGTGTTCGAAGCTGTTCTGTATGCCATGCATATACGCAGCTTGAGAGGACGAATGGTTTTTGTAAGAAGCTTCTTGTTTTTGTTTGACACTCCTCCTGCGGCCCAGACATTTACTGCGTAAAAGATGATCGAGAGAATAGCCGATGCGATAAGCTTCCTCTTCATAAACGAGGGTCCATCTATGTTCGGAAGAATGCAGCTGAAGGATTTAATAGCATTGGCGGCTTTCTCCGATATTTTTTTGAAGTGCGTGTCGAGAGATCCGTCTTCGTCGAGCCATACACCTAGATATCTCATGAACGGAGCAGGTGTTATAGAGTGATTGACCACTTTGAGCTTGCATTTCCTCTTTTTCTTCTTCTTTTTCCCCACAATTTCGAAGGCTTCTGTTTTGGTAGGTTCAAGAGCCAGTTTAGCTTTTGCCAATTCGTCGTTGATTTCAGACGTTATTTGATTGGTGTTTTTTGTGAGTTCTCGCCTTGTTTTGGTTTCAATAATGATAGCAAGATCATCAGCATAGGCAATCTTTTCTGCAACGGATTTTGTTGTAAGATTTACAATTTTGTCGTAGCATATATTCCAAAGGTGGGGTCCAATACAGCTACCCTGTTGTACACCAGAGTTGATTCCAAAAATGAGGCCATTGATTGTGATGTACCTATCTGTAAGGTAGTTTAGGATTATCCGGATTATATAGGAGGGGATGTTTTTCTCCAGTAAAGACTCGTGAATGTCCTTCCAACTTAAGCTATTGAAAGCATTTTTAATATCCAAGGTAAGTATAGCCATTGAGGGTCGATGTTTTTTGTTGATGTTAAGATTTTGAGTGATTGCGTTTCTGACTTTGTTGATTGCGTCTGTGGTGGAGTGTCCGCGACGAAAGCCATGTTGATTTGGCGACAATTCTAGCTCGGGGAGGAGTCTTCCGATAGTAATCAGCTCGAAAACTTTGCCTAAAATATTGAGCATACATATAGGTCTGAAGGATTTTTCATTTTTCCCAGGATTACCCTTAGAGATCAGCGTTAAACGACCTTTTTTCCATTCGTTGGGGAAAATGCCTTGTTTGAGGTAGTTATTGTACATTTTAAGGCATTCCTGTTTATTTGATCTGATAAACATTTTAGCAAGCTCTGGGTTTATTGGTTGTACTGGTTTGCAACACTAAAACTGGTGAGCACATATACTTACACGCTAACGTGCGACGGTAAAATTTTAGGAGAAGTCCGAAGAAAACACGAAAGCATCGGTAAAGGAGGACGAACAATACACCCAGTGAAATGTTACCGATCCAAAAACCAAAGTCCAGCCGCCAATCTTCTCCCTCCTCATCCGACCCAGATTGTTCTGCCATTTCTGGAACAATGAAGTATAAAAAGAATGAAATACAAATATCTACTGCCTTGCTGAGGAAAAACGCCGTATGGACCTTCGGGCGTTGCCAAATTTCCACGAATAAAAAATGGATTTACCGGTAAACTTATGAATATTATTTTTCCAATTTTTCAGATACTGTTGTAAGCGATTCCACCAGAAATTCCTGAAAATTTCGAGGAAAAATATTCATGACTTTTTTTGCAAATTAATCATTTTATAGAAGGAAATTCGGCAACTCTGGAATTTTTAAGCGGCGTTCTTCCTTAGCGGGCAGTATGCCCGTCCCTCTCAAAAAACCAACATTTTTACGAGCGCAGCAGTGACATATAAATTTCATAATTACTTTATTAAGTAATTAATGAATTAATTAATTAATATATTTTTTAAGAGCTATTATTCCTGTGCGAGTGCTATGCAAACTCAACCTAACCTAATTTAAGCATCTGATATCCTTGCTGTTCTCAATCTTATTTCGTGCTTAAGGAAAAAGATAGACATTTCGTCGAAAGAACTGGACAACACGTATCTCGATCGGGATACTTCAGCCAAGACCAATCTACACAGGTCAATCATTCCCGAGGACGAGTTTTGGAACTTTACTGCGCAGTGACGAAGTAGTGAGTGCCTGCAATGTATTTCTTATGGGAGCACCCATTGTGATGCAGCATTGAGTGCCGCTGAGTTAGGGCCGGTTGGGGGACTGGATTTCAAGAAGATGCGCGATGACTGACCTCGAGTGGTTACAGGACATTTCGTCAACGATTTTATGTCCGCGCACCTGTTTTTTCCAGTAATTTAAGTCCACGCGTTTTTTCGGCACGGAAGTTTTGGTCCACGTGCCAGTTGAGACCCAAAGTTAATTGACCCACATGTAAATACAAACGACAATTGCTCCCGACGTCTTTGAAGAATGAGGGTTTGCTTGTTTTTTTGTTTTGTCTGTTTGGTCCAACGGAGAATAATGTACATATAGTTGAGAGTTTGGTAAAAATGGGAGAGAGTCAATTCCATGAGACAAAATTCACTAAAACTCTCTACACCTCTTACATGTAACAGGACTTAATTATCTTTCAAGATTTTCCCACCTTCTTATACCTGAACCGGATAAACCTCTATGTTTGCCTCAGCTAAAGGCTCTCAGATTTTTCCAGTGTACGTTCGTAAAATACTGTGCAACACCTCTGTTGTGGAATAGTTGCCGCAGGCGCCGCCGCACGGCGGGCGGGCGGTCAGCGCAAAACGCGCATTGGCGCCTACAAACCTAGGTGGATACTTCAAGCACTGTGCAATGCGTGAAGTATCCACTTAGGTTTGTAGGCGCTAGTGAGCCTCTCGCGCTGGCAGCACGCCGTTCCGCTCTCTTAGGCTTTAATATTTATACGCGCACGGTGCCCCTGAACTGACTTTAAATGCGACTTTAATGTACATCAAAAATTGAGGTTGGAGGTTGTAGTGGGGTACTCCCTGATGGGTTTTTGGGCAATTTCGAAATAGGTTGTCGGAGCTCCTGGAAAAATAATCGCATTTTTGTGGTTTTTTAGGGGTAAAATAGGAAAATTGGCCTCGGGGCGACAAATTAAACGCCCTCTCCCTCATCCTTGCTTTGACCGATCTGAATTTTTAGTATGTTTTCACCTAGTATAAGATGTGACTTTTCTGAAATTTTCATGCCCATACACAATTTTCTGCCCCCGCGGCAGCGTTGCCAAGTTGCGAACTCCAAAATATCGAATTTAATGATAAAATGAAGGTTTCGGAGTGTGATTTCCATTCAAAATCAAAAATTCACATTGTACGTTGTAGCAGGGTACTGCCTGATGGGGTTTTGGCCAATATCGAAGTAGAGTGTTTGAGTTTTTTGGAAAATAATCGAATTTTTGTGGTTTTTTAAGGGTAAAATAGCACACTGGGCATGGGGCGACAAATTAAACCTCTTCTCCCTCATCCTTGCCGTGACCGATCTGAACTTTTAGTACGTATTAACCTGGTATAAGATGTGACTTCTCTGAAATTTTCACGCTCATACAAAATTTTTTGCCCCCCGCGGCAGCGTTGCCAAGTTGCGAACGCCAAAATATCGAATTTCATGATAAAATGAAGGTTTCGAAGTGTGATTTCCATTCAAAATTTCACTAGGAATGTGCAAGCTGACAGCTTTCGATTAGAAAAGACATATTTGAGCAATTTAGAGTTGCAGTGTTGCCAGCTTTCGATTTAAAATTCGTCAAAATGACTCAAATCGCGTTGCAACCTCAAGCGCTGGATTTTTATTTCGTTCAGAATTGGTTATTACGGTTCTTCTGTACTCTATGCATTTTGGTACCATGAAAATTATGCCATTACTTACTTGATGGGTGCAGCTAACTCAAAAAGAGAGGCCGGATAAAGCGATGAGTCGGGGGAAAACGAGCGGTTCGGGTTGACAGAAAGTTCTTAAATCTACTCCATCACCAGAAAGTAGAATTTGAGAACTTTCTCCCACCCCCCAAACCTTATCCCTGTTGCAGTCAATCCTTTGAACATCTTATCTGAAATTTTGCCCCCGAATTTTCCCCCAAAAACATGAAAAATAAAAACACAAATAAAATGGTTGGATACCGACGATTCAAATAACGCTATGAAGTCCCTGAATTCGACCTCCTCTCATACAGCGGATTGGATAGTTCGAATCCAGAAGACTTCTTACTGTAAAGAAAATACCTTCGACAATTTAAAGAATAAAAAAATTACAAAAGATCACAATAAATTTGAGTAATGTTGAAAATAAACTCCCTCATAAAAAAAAAAATAAACTAGATGACGAAATTATGACTTTTTATGATCGGAACAAACCTGATGGAGTCCATCTAAATTCAAGAGGCCTCTTGATCATCTGGAATCTCATGCAACAGAGTTTGCCATGAATGGTATGTTTCCTTATTTAGTCCAGAAATATTTTATTTTTCGGAATGTCAAACATGTCTTATACAACCAAAAATTTACATAGCATTTTTAATTTCGTCATCTAGTTTATTTTTTTTATGAGGGAGTTTATTTTCAACATTACTCAAATTTATTGTGATCTTTTGTAATTTTCAATCAAAAAGATTGACTACAACAGGGATAAGGTTTGGGGGGTGGGAGAAAGTTCTCAAATTCTACTTTCTGGTGATGGAGTAGATTTAAGAACTTTCTGTCAACCCGAACCGCCCGTTTTCCCCCGACTCATCGCTTTATCCGGCCTCTCTTTTTGAGTTAGCTGCACCCATCAAGTAAGTAATGGCATAATTTTCATGGTACCTAAATGCATAGAGTACAGAAGAACCGTAATAACCAATTCTGAACGAAATAAAAATCCAGCGCTTGAGGTTGCAACGCGATTTGAGTCATTTTGACGAATTTTAAATCGAAAGCTGGCAACACTGCAACTCTAAATTGTTCGAATATGCCTTTTCTTATCGAAAACTCTCAGATTGCACATTCCTAGTGAAATTTTGAATGGAAATCACACTTCGAAACCTTCATTTTATCATGAAATTCGATATTTTGGCGTTCGCAACTTGGCAACGCTGCCGCGGGGGGCAAAAAATTTTGTATGAGCGTGAAAATTTCAGAGAAGTCACATCTTATACCAGGTTAATACGTACTAAAAGTTCAGATCGGTCACGGCAAGGATGAGGGAGAAGAGGTTTAATTTGTCGCCCCATGCCCAGTGTGCTATTTTACCCTTAAAAAACCACAAAAATTCGATTATTTTCCAAAAAACTCAAACACTCTACTTCGATATTGGCCAAAACCCCATCAGGCAGTACCCTGCTACAACGTACAATGTGAATTTTTGATTTTGAATGGAAATCACACTCCGAAACCTTCATTTTATCATTAAATTCGATATTTTGGAGTCCGCAACTTGGCAACGCTGCCGCGGGAGCAAAAAAAATTGTATGGGCATGAAAATTTCAGAAAAGTCCCATCTTATACCAGGTAAAAACATACTAAAAATTCAGATCGGTCAAAGCAAGGATGAGGGAGAGGGCGTTTAATTTGTCGCCCCGAGGCCAATTTTCCTATTTTACCCCTAAAAAACCACAAAAATGCGATTATTTTTCCAGGAGCTCCGACAACCTATTTCGAAATTGCCCAAAAACCCATCAGGGAGTACCCCACTACAACCTCCAACCTCAATTTTTGATGTACATTAAAGTCGCATTTAAAGTCAGTTCAGGGGCACCGTGCGCGGTCAGCGTTTTTTGACTCATGATTTTGAAATGTCTGTACATTCTGCATTGATTATTCTCATTTAAATTGAAGGGAAAAAAATATGCATCAATTTATCAAAGGATAGTAACAATATAATGTGTGTTTTTTTAAATATTGGTGGTTCCGTGTCAAATTTAATGATTTCCAAAGCACTTTAATTTTTTCTTTTAAATTTTGTGCTTTCATTGTGCTGCAGCGAGTTGTACGCGCAACCAAACGCTCAAAATTTGACGTATTTGACTCTAAAAGATCGATGTACAAATGGGTTACAACTAAAGATTGCGTGCTTCTTGGTTTTTTCCCCTCTTTTATTCATTTTTGCAGTTTCTGTCGGCACAACTGCGGCTCGTTATGAGATTAATGTCGCTTGGAAAAGGTTTTACACATATTTGTCACGTTTTAAACATATAAATGTTTTCAAAATGAAGTAATCATTTCGTAAAGAAAAAAATTAAAAAAAATAAAAAAAACACCTTTACATATATGAGGTATATTGTACATCGAATATTTTAAGGATAGAAATAAAACCAAATATTCACCAATGACAGTTTAAAAAGATGATTCAAAAGGAGAAAGTAATAACATTTCATTTAGAAAATGAGCAACCATAACAACACCTCCTTCTCTCTCAATATCTCATTTCCATATTGTCAATATAATTTCAAATACCGACTAAAATATGACGCTTGGACAAAGTCACTGTTGCTTATTTTACGTGTGTGGGCGTAAACTACTGGACA